ACCTAAGATCCATCGTTCTTCGCATTTCCCAGATACACGACCTGCTTGGTTGAATATAGATAGAGTTGGCTCATTACTACTTTCATTTATCGTCCACATCAGTGCTGCCTTCATGATAAAATTTTGCTTCCTTGATAGGTCATAAGTTATTACACCCTCACACCATAACTCTTTCAACTCATCAATCAAAGGTTGAAGGTATACATCAATTTTAGCCTTTGGATTTTTTGTACCAAGAATTATACAAGTCAAGAATAAATATGGATTTTTCATCCTCATTTCAGGAAAAAGATTAAAAGGTATAACCACAATAGGCCAACAAAAATATGGTTTATTAAATTGATTGTTTGGAGCGAACCCATCAACACATAACCCTAACCTTACATTTCTAGGATTGGATGCAAACTTAGGATACACTTGATCAAAATGTTGCTAAGTCTCACCATGAGATGGATGAGTCATTATCCCATCACTCCTTTTATTTTCAGCATGCCACGTTATGTAAGGAGCTGAACTCATAGACGCATACAACCTTTTTAGCCTAAGAATCAAAGGCAAATAATGCATTCTAGTTTGCGGTATATCTTTATGTTTACCACTTCTACCACCTCTTCTTGGTTTAAACCTAGACTCTCCACAGAATTTGCAATTGGTCAAAACAATATCATATTTGTAATACAGCATGTAGCCTTTCAAACAACAATCAATTTTGACTTCTTTTAATCCAAGTTTAGAAACTAATTTTTTTGCTTGGTAAAAGTCCTTTGGGATGGAGTCAGGTTGGGGACTAAGCTCACTAATTAATGTAGCTCATTGATCAAATGAACTTTGACTTTGATTGCCTTCTGACTTTATGCTTAACATTCTTACTGCTAAAGATAACTCTGAATGCACACACCTATCCCATAAAGGCTTGTTTGCTGCTTCTAAAATATTATAAAACTTTGCAGCCTCTCCATTAGGTTCTTGTTCAGCTTCAAAATCATGAAATATTCCAAATTGAAGACCAACAATATCATAAACCATTTCTTGATAACGACTATTGCTTTCTTCTGAACTTACATTACCTACATCCTCACCTGATTGCAATATATTTGAATTACCTACTTGATTTTCCAAATTAACTACTTCCCCATGCTCAGTCCATATCCAATAATCATGTTTAAATCCAAACTTATACAAATCATATCTAATTGAATCAATATCCAAAAATTTTCTACATTTGCACTTAGAACATGAACAACTAACTTTTTGGTTGGTGATTAATTGCTGCGAATTACAACAGACATGTATGAATTCTTGTACACCCTCAAAGAATTCAGGTTTTATTCTCCCCTAACTTGGGTGCAACCTATCATACATCCACTGACGATTTCTGAGAAATATCTTCCTCAAGAACTATATAAACTTAATACAAATATACAATATGGTATCAACTTTCTATTATACATTACACAAATTTTTAATATAAATTTTGGCAGAATCTCCCCTAATACATGTCAATTTCCTTACATTTGTTTACCACTTTTTACAAAAATTAAAATTTCACCACACATAACTAATATATTATATAACAATATATTAATCGATACATCAAACACAAACACATCACAATCCTAAACCGTTCTAGAGCACATCCCCTTGTAACTCCACAATATGCATATTCTACAAACTCCACAAACACAAACAATCCCACAACACACAATAATCAGGTTCAGAGAAGGACCTCTACGCCCTTCCCCCCAGTCATACAATCTTCAATCCTACAACTCTATCTTAGAAATTTGAAGTATCTAGAAAACATAAAAAATTAAAAAACTAAACCGATTAAAAGTTAGAGTATCATACCAGGAATACAATGATGTAAAATATCTTTCAAATGGATACTCCAATCACTAGCAAAGGCCAAAACACTGAGCTCCTAGAGAGAGTGAAAGAGAGAGGGGCGAGAGAGAGGGTTATGAAAAAATGAGGAAGGGGGAGGGCGAGGCGGTGTTTTATGGGTTTCTATCATTACAGCGAAAAAATTCATCTGTAAGGGTTTAATAAAATGATGCGCTTCAGATTGCAAATTACAGACAAATTTTTCTATCTGTAAATTTGTTAAGTCCATTTACAGACAGAAAAATCTGTCTGTAATTTGCCACCTGAAAGGTCGGTTAAAAACGGCCATATTTACAGACGGATAAATCTGTCTGTAACTTCCGCTATAAAATTTCCTCCTATTTTCAAATTACAGATGGAAAAATTCGTCTGTAATTCTTGTCTATATGATTTCACGCCAAATGGCAGACAAACTATAAACATATTTTATAGACGGATTTTTCAAAAAAAAAATTAAAAAAAATTCACAAATCCGTTTATAATACAGACGGATTTTGATCCATCTGAAAAATCTGTCTGTATATACCGCTTTTCTAGTAGTGTACCCAAAGAGTACAGATACGGGGATTAATGTTCATACCCACGCGGTATAGGGATAGGTACTATAGTACCCTACTCATACCCTACCTATTGTCATTCCTACATATAGATGACATGACAGTTTTTCGGTTCAACTAATGAAATCGGCTAGTCCAATTTTAAAACCTTCATTATTAACATTAATTTCTTAGAAAAGAGTAACTACTAAACATTAGTTTACAAACATATGGAGAAAGTTAGTAAAATTAATTATAATTTTGTTAAAATGACACATATTTAAAAATAAGAGTAAATTATAAAATTGTTAAAACTTTAATATCATTATTTTTTTTTATAAAAATTATAAGTCCATACTTTTTCATATTTTAAATTAATCAAACTCAATTTTAAGCCTTATTTGAAGTCTTTTTTTTTTTTGGGGGGGGGGGTTGTTTTAGCTTAGAATCTAATTTCATTAAGGACCAATGCCTTAGAAATTTAGTAAAGAAATTAAAAATATTATTAATGCACTTTTAATATGATTTTTAATGTCTTTTTTTTAGTAAAAAATTTAGAAAGCAATTGAGTGATAAAAATAATGATATTATTTTGAAAATATTCGTCGAACGATTGGAAAGGGATTTTCTTTGTGTCTTTGGTATAATTCTGGGATGTATGCATATATAAAATAAATAAATAAAAGCAATTGAGTGATAAAAATAATTATATAGGTATCGCATATGGTGTTAACATTTTGTATTTCAAATAAATAAACTATTTTGAATAAATCTTTACTAGTTTACATGACGTTGTTTGGTTCAAATAAAGTGGAAAGGGATAGAGGGCATAAACGTTAGGCAAAATTTAATATAGATTATTTTGATTTAAATTAAGTGAAAAGAGATAGAAAAGATGAAAGTTAGGCAAAATTTTACATAGTTTATTTTTTATTTAAATAAAGTGAAAATAGATAGAAAGGATAAAAGTTAAGGAAAAAAAACACATAACTCCACTTCTTTGACACATGAAAAATGAGAAGGGAGAAGAGATTCTCCTATACAATGTAGGTCCCTAGAAAATTTTCATCATTTATTTTCTTAAAAACCCTAATTTTATCATAGAAATATATTAATTAGTGTTCTTAGGGTATTATTAAGGAATTAAATATATAAAAAATTAATTAAAAAAATGTAATAACACACACTCTTGTGATTTTAATTTGACTATTGATTCTTTAACCCATGTTTTGGGAGAATTTCGCTAGCAAGACTCATTAATAATGTGCTGCCATATGTTCTCCTTTTTTATTGGCTCTTCTACTTTTTAAATAAATATATAACTTTTTTTTCCTATTTTTTATCTAACTAAATAATATGTTATCACTACTTTTTTTTCCCCAATTCTATTTATTTGTTTTTTAATCTATTTTGCTTTCTCTTTGTTCCTTTTATTGGCTACACAATAAATTAGATTACATGTTTTATTAAAGATAAAACATGCTAATTCAAATATTTTATTTTTAAAAAATATTAATTTCAACTCTTGATACTAAGGCTAAGAAACTAAAAAAAATTAGAAAAAAATATTTATTATATTAGAAATATGAAAATGTAAACAATACCTTTTCTTTCAATAAAAATTTACTATTATTAATTACTTACATGCAAACTCATAAATTTTTAATTTTTTTAACTAGAAATTAATATTATTAATTCCTTACGTTTAAAGTCATCCATGAAGACTGTAAATAGTAAAATTGTTTATTTTAAACTCTTAGGATATGTTTGTTTCCAATTTTTAAGAGTTTTCTTCTTTTAAAAACTAAAAATACATGTATATATATACTTATGTATCCATATAGAAGTTTAAAACGATGTTAATTTTTTTTCCTACTAATAAATATTCTTTTATCCATATACTATTTAAAAAATCTAAAAGTCAAAAGAGATCCATTAATAAGGGTTAAATTAAAAATTTAGACATCAACTTTAATAAAATGAAGAGGAAAGAGAACCATAATTTTGTTATAAAATTTCGTATAATTTTTAATCTAATAAAAATTTTATAATTTATCATGTTAATTCAAATTTAAATTTAAAGACAAAATTAATTATATTATAAAGTTATTGACTATATAGCATTTATATAATCCAAACATAATACTTAATGGGAAGGAGATAGGTACCTAATAGGCAAAATAGGTTGAATGGAAATACATATGAAGAATTTGAAAGACTTCACCAAAAATAAAGTTAAATTGTATGCCAAAAAATAAAGAAAAGCATTAACGTCACACTATTTTAGATAAAATGTTTTAAACATTTATGTGATTGATCCATTCTATTAAATGTTAAAATATTTTTAGAATATGATAAATTTACAAAATATGTGTTTAGTTCTTTTAAATAATGAATTAATTACAGAGATTGTATTAAAGATATTTAAAAAAATGTGTTGATAATAATTCTAAAAAACGAATCTTTTTGTGGAGAATATTTCGATAGGTGGAGTGTGTACAATGTACTACAGGTTTCTAAACTTTAAGGTAATTTTACAGCATGAAATCACCAATATTATCTGACTCTTTTGTGACCAAACTCGAACATTTTATTGATAAATTCGTTGACATATGTAGCTGGCAACAACAAATAAATTCGTTCATCAACGTCATTCTGGTATGTGATGTGCGTGGATGGATGAGGCGAAGTGGTTAAGATATATATTTTTAAAGTGAGAAAGGAAAAAGAACATGAACTCAAATTTAATATTATAATAATTTTATTGAAGGTCTAACAAAACAAATGAACAAATTAAAGAATTTATCGTATTGCCTAGCAGCTAAACATATAGTAATTGTAAACTATGTCTTGTGGATGCACGAACGCGTGATCGACGTTTATAGGAGCGTAGAACAAGATGAAGTTTTAGGGTCAAAGAGAGCTGGCACCAAATATTTCCTGCCATTGACGCCGTTAGCGTTGTAGCTTGAACCAGTTGTGGGGTCGACTAAAAGATCCCCAGCATAACCAGGGTAAGCCCCTTTACCATAGACCCCAGTGCAAGCCGAAGCAGCTTCTAGAGGAGCCTCTTTGGGTCCTTGGTAATACCCATTCCCAAAAGGGTTGGTTACGGTGCCAGCCAAGAGACTAGCCACGTTGATGACCATGCCGTCAAGACCCACATCACTGTTGGGTGCAACCAGTGGTGGGTTCTGAGGACCGTAAATGGGTTGGTGGAAAGGCCACGCGCATTGACCAGGACACTGGGTCTCAGAGTTACCCACCCATATGTACGCGAACTTGTACCTCTTTCCGTTCACGCGCGCCCCCAGGGAGGAGCCGTGAGTCCCACACCTACTGGAACAGAAACCCTCGACTGCCACGTCAGCAGATGTGAGAACCACGTTGATGGCGTTTCTCTGGGGACCCTTGGATGCGAGTCTTAGGATTTGGTTTGTTGTGAGTGATTTGCCTAATGAGTAGTTTTCATCCAGGATTTGGGACCCTAGGGAGAGGGCGAGTTTGGGTGATGATGTCTTTTTGTTGACAAGGTTGTAGTATTTTTCTGTTGCCTTCCACCACGTGGCAACAGATGGTTGGGCAGTTGTGGGTCTGGGAGAGGAGAGGGAGGTGACGAAATCTGCGATTATGGCTCTTTGTGATGGCTTGAATTTTCCGTACCAAATGAGGTTAACGGAGATTTTGCCTGTGAGGAGAGGGCCTTTGTGGTATTGGAATTGCAACGGTTGCTCTGACTCAGCTAGTTTTCTGGCTGAGCTAAAATGAAGAAGGGAGAGAGTAATAAAAAGGCTTAGGAGAACACTTGAGGATGTAAAAGAGGCCATATTTGTGTTTTGGATGCTGGAATTTGTAAAGAGAGGTGATGGGAAAGAGAAATGGGGGTGGTGGGTATATATAGTAAGAGGTTATTGGGGATAGATGGTAGGAAGGTGGAGGGAGAGTGCGTGGTGGTGAAGTCAAATTATGGGGGATGGTGAATTGAGTGAGGTGCCAGCTTGATAACGCGTTGTTGTTTTGCTATTCCATTAGCCAAATTCAATAAGATTGTGCGGCAAGCTTTTTAGTTTGGAGTGTATTGGTAATTAATTTAGTGTGGTCATAGGCTCATAACTCGTGAGGGTGTGCGGGGACAGGGCATGGCCAGCTAAGGTGAATATAATAACAGCACTGAAACTTTACAAGAAGACAAAGCCGTGTAGCGTTTGTAGAAGGGCAGGATCCAATTTCTTTGGTACATGGGGAGGCATGGCTTTTATTCCTCTAGGAATATGTGCTGGATCCTTCTTGCCCATTTTCCACTTTCCATTTTCTATAATTCCACAACAATTTTATTTCACCATATTCATTGTTTTAATGCTTATTGAGGAAACAAAATCTGTTAATTTGGATGTGCTTTCCTTAATTAAAATATAATAATTCTGTGTGCAAATACTTTTGTTATACTTGTTGAATAATTTGGATAGTATTTTTTTTTTAAATATTGAAGCAATAAAAAGCATACACTGCTCTAAAATATTTTAACCAAATTAAAATAATATTTTCGTTTAAAATTCGTAAAAAAAAGGTCGTAATTTTATATTTAAGTATTTTGATTATGTTCATTTTAAAGGTAAAAGGTAATTTCATTCTAATCTATTGATTATATTCATAAAAATAAAAATTCAGAGTTATTCATTTTTAAATTATGAATTCGAACTCTCGTTTCATAACGAGGGTGTTTTTAAAAACTATTTTTCTGTGACTTTTTTTTTAGCATTAAAATTTTAATTTATATTTTTGTTATAAATTTTATTTTTTTAAAATTTTATTTTTGAAATTTAGCTTAGTTTAAATTTTAATAATAGTCTAATATTAATCAATTTTTATTTTAAATTTTGATACACCATTGAAGAAATTATGTATATTAATTTTTACTTAATTTTTAGATGTTTTATTTTTTTTAAAATTTTAAAATTATCTATGTACTACACAATAACATACTAGTTGTGTCATTTATCTATTGAAATTTTCATAATCTTATTACTGTTTTGGTCATTATCTTAACTCAGTGTATTTTTTATTTATTTATTATTTGGTAATTTTAGAGGAATAATATGTTCTGTTATAAAAGAGAAATGGCATATCATATTTTGATTTTTATTAATTAATATAAGAAATATTATTATTTTTATTTTAATTAAATTAATTCTCAAACTCACATCCTTTCAAGAGATATTATAAAATTTATTATCTTTTAAATATTATTAAAATTAAGTTAATTCTCAAACTCATTATATATAAAAGAGAGTACATGTTACAAGTTATAGTACAATGATTTTGGAAAAGTAATGAATTTTATTATAAAAAATAAAAATTGATTTCTCTGGACAAAATATTTATTATCATATGTAAAATTTATCTCATATTTTACATGTCATGTAAATTTTAGTTTTAAATAATTTACATATTTTATAATTTGTTTTTTAATTTTTATTAAAAAATAAATTTCTAGTAAATTTAAATTTTAAAAGAAATGCTTTCCGAAAGGGATTATCAGATTTGTGTTTTAAAAGAATGTAAAAAAATTACAATAACGAAAATTTTGGAGTCACACTTTCGGGCATACAACTTGGGTCCCAAGAAATAATTAACATGATTTTTCCCATCGAAAGTACTGTAGTAATTAATTTTGAAACAGAAAGGAAGGACTAAAACAAGAGCCGACTCTAATTAGGGCGGGCCCCAACCCAAAGCCAGGAGGTGACAGCTTGCATGATACCTTGTTTTTAAATCCATTTGTTCCGGACAGATTCCTTTCAACTCTTTCGCCAACTTAAATATAACATATGACTCTTTATTAATTACATTTAAATTACTTACGATAATATTAAGTATAAATATTTTATTAAAGTCAAATTTTTATTTCAATTGATAAACAACACATTATTTATATAATAGTATTTATTTTAATATTATAATTGATCAAAGAGCCAAATTACTATTTCAAAAATCAAATAAACACTCTAGATGAGGAAAGGAAAAAAAAAAAAAACTATCTATAATAAACTATGTTTCAAGCTTACTAAGCTACAATTGACAAGTATGAGCAAATCCAAGTGATTTGTTTTATAAAAAAATTACGCATACTTCGTTGAATTTTGACATTTATGAATAGGAGTGATTTTCTTTTTCAGCATGGAGAAACAATTTGAAGGGTAAAATGAACCATTTAACGAAAATGATCTGATAAATAAATTGTAATATCATCACTTAAATGTACAAAATAAAGTTTTATTATAGGCTTAATGATTTTTTAATTTTTTTATTTAAAAATTATTAGAATAAAATTAAAAAAAAAACTAATTCCCTGTTTTGGATAAATTTTTGCCACGTAAGCCCCTATTTTGTATTTTTATCAGATAAAATAATTTTTTTTTATTTTAATTTAATCTTTTTGTCTAAAATAAGGACAAAATATGTACGATCTTGACACCTGTCCACAATTTTGTATACAAATGAGATGAAAACATAAAAAAAAATTGAAATAAACTTTTTCGCTCCGCCAATACATGGCCCAATGAGCGTATTTTGTCACTGAGTAAGATAAAAAGGCTATTCGTCTTACTTAGAGGCGAAACATGTTGAATGGGCCACGTGTCAACGGAGTAATAGTAACCGCGTCTCCCTCTTCTCTCTTCCCTCCCTCGTTCTAGTCCAATTAAACTTTTGCTATTTTCACCGTTCACTCACATGTGTATGATTTTTTTATTTTTTTTGTGTCGTTAGCGTAGTTTTTTAGTAGATTCATCATCCATTACAAAAGTGTGTCTAGATCCGCTTGCATTGCAATCAGTGACGCTTGTTATTCGACTGGAAGGTCGAGGATGTTGGGAGAACGTTACAGTGTCATCGACAACGCAAAAGAGGAATAGGAGGTGCTCATTGTAGAGACGCCATCGTCTAGACAGGAGAGCCGTCAATGCTGGTACTATCGATCGCCGAAAATCGATCCCTCCTCCCAAAAAGCCACCAACCAGGTATTTCCATAATTAATGGAAGTATTTTTAAATTTATTATAATTAGAAAAAAATTGAGGTATGATAATTAGATGAAAAAATGAAAATTGATGAATAAATTTATAAAATTTTATTGATTACAAAATTTTTTATAGTAATATTTAGATTTAAAATGGAAATTTAATAACTAAATTTATAAAATTTAATCGATTAGAAAAATTTGTTATAATAGTATTTAGCTTAAAAAATAAATTATTTAAATTATAAATGTTTTGTTAATGTTATAGAAATATAAAAAAACCAAAAATTGTAAAATTAAATTTTTCATTTAGAATTATTATAGTAATCTGAGGTGTAAATTTTAAAGCAACTAAAAAGTAATTTAAATAATTAAATATAATAATAAATTGTTAAATAATATTCATAATATAATAATAAAAAATAATTGTATTAAAATAGACTATATACCAATTTATATTAAAATTGTAGAGGTAAATATTTGAGTTTATAAATAATTAGAAGTAAATTTTTTTAATTAATATTGGTTAATTATGATGAAATAAAACAAAAACTTATGTAATTTAAATTATTAGAGTGATATTAATTATATAATTTAATTTATGATGAAAGAATAAATTTATTATTGAAAAAAAAACCTTGTTAATTAGTGATGTTATTGTATGATAAAAATTATTAAATTGGAAGTATTGCAAATATTTTAATGTCATGGAATAAAAATATATTATTGTATTATAGTTGATTTGTGTTATAATTTTTTTGTGTAATTAGTAATAAAAATTAAAATCCTAACCATGTTATTTTTTTTATAGATAATTAATATTTTTGTATTTGAGTTAATAACATATTATTTGTAAGTCCTAAATAAAAATGGTTGAAAATTTTAGTAATAATGAAATTAACACATATATAATTTTTTTTAGATGGTTTCATCTTCAGGACATAATAGGATCATTTATCCTGGATCAGATAATCCTTCATTATTGTACTTACAGAATATTCACGTGTTTGAACATATTTGGGATGGTCGAGATCATCCTATTTTGAAGGTTATGAAGAGTCAATTTATTCTAGCTGGTTTGGATGATGTCCACAAGAGATGCTTTCACATTTAGAGCTTGCGGGATTTGCTCAATTCCCACTAGGCCTCCCATTGATCACTACATTAGTAGAGAGATGGAGGTTAGAGACATACACTTTTTACTTGCCTCCAAGCGAGTGTACGATTACTTTGCAGGATATATCTGTGTTGTTAGGGTTATAGATTGATGGAAGAACTATGATTGCACATATTGGAGGTAATTATGCTGACATTGTTGAGAAAAGCCTAGAGATTCGACTATCACGTGATGCTTTTGTTGGTAGCTTCTTGAAGACGAGTTGACTAAACTAACATTTTACCCATGTTGCGATCCATGCATAGAATCATTTCCATATCACCCGATTTGTTATGGCTTACATGTTGCGGTTGATTGGAGGTTTTATGCTGAGCGATCACTCCAGCAGTAGAGTCTCAATCAGGTACTTACCTTTAGTAGAGGATTTTGCTATCACTGGTGAATATAGTTGGGGCTCTGCATTATTGAAATTTTTGTATAGAGAGCTTTGCATGACCACCAACATTGATTGACATGGTTTAGGTGGTTTAACTGCATTACTTGTCATGTGGGCATGAGATAGGTTTCTATTTCTAGCCTCTGTTAACCCCCCCTCCCCACACAACTCCATCTTCCATTTGCTACCAGGTAATATTACAACGTTTATTTGTTTAATTTTGATTAACATACCTTCTGTATAAACATTACCACACTTTTTTTGCAAGTGATTAGCAAACCAAAGGAATAGAAAAGGGAGAAAGGATATATCTTATTATAAATATAAATTTGACATGCTTAATCATGAAGAGGTAAACATTAATAGGCTAAATAGATATGAAAGTATAGTCATATTTCAATTTTGTTATCATTTATGAAAACTATTGTTAATATTTGTATATTAGTTGTAGATAATTTAGCAACCATATTCTGTTGATTTGATTAATTCGTTACCACCTATATATTGTGAACGGATGGATTTGTGGAAGGCAGTAGTGTCTTTGATATGTTTTTAGGTGTGCGAGTAGCACTAACCAGATCGAGTCATGCGGCAATTTGGTATGGTTCAACATATACCTCGTGACCCATACCAGCCATATGCACTACATGACTTGACACTACGAGGGTAGACGTCAGAGAATTGGGAAGAGAAGCTTAAAGATGTGTTAAACATTTGGGAGCGAAGGAGAGATTGAGTCATGACTAATGACCCCAAGATTGGTCAGTAAGTTCCAACTCTAGGTATATGTGGTGGTATAGAGCTTACACTAGATGTTGGATGACAAGAGACGCAACTGTCTCATCATTACTTGTAAGTGTAATGAAACGTACATAAATGAACCATATTCTGTTTTGTGTTGTTGATTTGTAATGCTATTGTTAAACATACATGGCATTTGTATTGTAGAGTGATGGTCTTGAGAGAGCGCACTACTTGATGATTGATCGTCATGATTTTTTCACCTTTGATGAGATACGAGACTTGTGTCAGTCTATGCTTATTTTGAAGGATTATCTAAATCGCATTATGGAGCCTATTTGTTCATCTGAGCCTCCTATACATAGTGGCAATACCTAGGATCCAATTATAAATGTTGGTCAACCTAGGGACTATAAGGAAGGCAGGGGATTACAGTGTAGACGCACCGAGGTACAAGCGACATAATGGTTTCTTCCCTCCATACCTGACTGTTTTGATGAAGTCTTCTATGTTCCTTTGCAGTTTCCTTTTCCACACACAACATGTCATTCCATTTACATATTTTCACTTATCTTAGGCCACCCAACATCTACCACAAACCCCTCCATCACTATTCATCACCACAAAGTGTTGTATCCCATGTTCATCACCATTTATCACCCCGGCTCCATACCATGCATCAATTCTAACACCACCACCAGCAGTAGGTTTTGGTATTGGGACCTCATACGATACCTCATATAGTCATGAAATATATTTAAATGTTGACTTCAAAGTAGCTTTAGATGTTCCACCTCCATAGGTTCATCATAATCCACATTGTGGAGCCAAAAATCGGCCTAGAGAATGCATATTGACCTCACATCAGCTCGACCAGTCAGACGAGGATAGAGCTTGATTTTTTTGAAGTAGTACTTATACATATTTCGTATATAATACATGAAATTTTTTATAAGAAGAAGTTAGGTCATACATTATATCCTCTATGCTAGTACTTTATTGTTGATACATTATATCCTATAAAACTGAATTTGATTATAATCGACTTTCTTGTATAATTGAAGTTGATTATAATCGACTTGTTTATTGTGCTGCCAAAAAATCAATTTAAATTAAGATTTTTTTTAACTAAAGTCGATTATAATCAATTTTTTTGTATAACTAAAGTTAATTATAATTGATTTCTTTATTACACTACAAAAAATGATTTAAATCGATTTGTGTGCTAATATTAAAGTTAATTTTAATTAACTTTCATGTAATTTAAATTAGAACATTTATGTAAAAAAATTTTAGTGTATATACGTAATATTAATTTTTTTTATTTATATAAATTTTTTTTTCTAAATAATTTTATTGGACTACAAGTTTATTATAAAAAATATTATATAAAATAAATATTTTTACTTAATATTTTAATAATTATCACAATTTATATCAAATTTTTTTCAATCTAATTTTTAAAAAAAATATAAATTTTTTTGACCTACAAAACTCTTGGTCTTGTGGATTTTTTGACCTATGGGTTTATAAATTAATAGATTTTTGGCTCACATAGCTTTTTAGCCCTAACACATATGGATTAGAGCTACGATTAGATCAAATGAACTTTTTGATGACTCTAAAGATAATTAAATAAACTGAAATGAAATAAAATCACTACTTAATAAAATAAGAGTGATGCATTATTATCAACCAATAAAATTCGGATTTCTCACATAATAAAAAACTATTGAGGATCGTCTTCCAAGTAAATAGAATACCTCAGAAAAGGGAGGATGAAAATCCCAATCTGACTTTGGTTCGAAGTAAAACATTAACATTAGCATGTATAAAAGAGTTTACTTTCCAAAATAATTTATAAAGTTTTTTTCTATATATATTTTCTCGTATAACACTATTTATGTTAAAAAATTTTATAATTATGTTTGGTGAGTTTTTTTTTTTCTGAGTAAATTTGATAATCAAATTTAAAGTATTAATCTCTATGTAACATAAAATGTATCAAATAAAGGTTAAATTAAGTGGAACGAACCTTTAACAAAATCAAGCAAACCAATATAAATTTGCTTCTACACTATTAGTCCACAAAATAAAAAAATATAAACAAATGAATGAATCGATCCCTACACAAAGCTTACGCAGGCTAAACTATCAATATTAACCCGTCTTTCAGATATAGTACTAGTCCTCACACAAGCGTGGAACACGATGACGTAGAAGGATCATACAAAGCGGGAAGCAAGTACTTTCTCCCATTTGCCCCGTGCGCATTGTAGCTAGCACCAGTGGAAGAGTCCACAAGCAAGTTCCCAGCATAACCAGGGTAAGCCCCTTTACCATAAACCCCAGGGCACGCCGAAGCAGCTTCCAGTGGCGCTTCAGTGGAACCCTGAAAGAACCCATTTCCAAATGGGTTCGTGACAGTCCCAGCCAAGAGACTAGCCAGGTTAATCACCATTCCATCAACACCCACGTCGTTGTTTGGGGCAATCAACGGTGGGCTTTGAGGCCCATAAGTTGGCTGATGAAAGGGCCACGCGCATAGGCCCGGGCATTGGGTCTCGGAGTTGCCGACCCAAACATAAGCGAACTTGTAGTTCTTGCCTTTGACGTGGCCCGTTGAAGAAGAACCGTGGGTCCCACATCGGCTCATACAGAACCCTTCCACTGCCACGTCGGCGGAAGTTAGGACAACGTTGATGGCATTTTTGTGATTACCCTCGGAAGCCAGTTGAACAAGTTGCTTGCTTGTGAGTGATTTCCCAAGGGAGTAGTTTTCGACGAGAATCTGTTTTCCCAATGAAATGGAAAGAGGAGGGGAAGTTCTCTTGCTTTTGCCGAGGTGGTAGTATTTTTGAGGGGTTTTCCACCACGTGGCGACGGAGGGTTGGGTGCTATGAGCGGGTGAGGATGCCAGCGAGGTGATGAAATCGGAGACTATTGCCTTCTGGGAAGGCTTAAAGTGACCATACCAAATGAGGTTAATGGAGATTTTGCCAGAGAGAAGAGGGCCATTGTGGTAATGAAGAAGCTGGGTATTGTCTTGAACCAGCTCATTCAACCTCCTAGTGGCCAAAGAGAGATTAAAGACAGAGAAATAGAAGAGAAGAAAGATTTTCAAAAGGAAAGCAGTAGACACAGACATTTTTTGAAATCAAACAAGCTGAGATAGCTTGTATATTTTGTTTATGGATTGAGGGTAGTAAGGGAGAGGTATGTATATATAGGTAAGAGATGGTGCTAATAAATGGGTACGATGGTTAAATTGATTCTTTTTCTAGAGTGGAGTACTTGGAGCCACGACTTGGGCAATGAAAGAGGTGAGAGGGGACCCCAGAGAGAGGTACTGCTTGGCGCGTTTCTTTGTTCAAAAGTATAGTTCTATTTCTAATCCACGTTGCTACTAGTTGGGGTGTAGCCCACGCGGCAAAGAAAAGCATGTGTTGGAGGAGCGTGGGGAGAGAGGGTTGGGAAGAGCGTTTAAAAAGAAAAGTGGTGTTATTGGGAGAGGGAAAGAGAGACGTTAAGATGACAGTCTGGATGGGGGTAAGTGGCAAAGCATCTAACTGGCACTCGCGCAATGGCAGCTTGCCAATGCTTGTGGCTGTGGGTATCCGAGGAAACACGTGAGCTTGCAATTTCCATACTCTATTTTATCATCTATTTTATATTTGGCAAAAATAGATGATAAAATAGAATAAAAACGTTAAATTAGTTTATTGAATTAAAAATATTTAATAACCTTAATTTTTTTTAAAATGTAGTTAATAATAAAAAATAAATCATCAATATTTCTTGGGGAAAAAAAAAGAGCATGGTTATTGTCCACTTTCAATGGCCTAAGTTCCCGATAGTCGTAAAAGATAACCCCAGCGATTCTTATGGTGCATGCATCTCTGGATTGTGCGTGCTCTGTTTCAAACTTGCACGGACATGTCAAACATATATATCAGTTAAAACGAGGTCCCATGAATCTGAGTCTGACCCTCAATTAATTCAATTTTTTTTTAGGCTTTTTTACCCTTTTATGATTAATTTGAAAAGAAAATGCCAGAATAAGCATGTAAAGATATTCCCTCTCTAGGGTTGTGTGGGTACGTGGCAGTGAAGTCGTCCATGAGACGGACGACACCAAAAAATAGAAACGTCCAATAACCAGATGACACTAATTTGAATGGACGGCTGAGGATGAACTAAGCCACGTGTACAAATCCTAAAGTGTCGTCTTGGTCAGGGACGACACTAATTTAATTGGTCCACGTGGCAGAGAATTTTGACCGTTTGGGCGCGGGCCTCTCCCTTCTCCTCCATCTTCTCCGTTTTGCTTGCAGAATATGGTTGTCAGAAAAAGAAAATAACACAGCGTTTCTTGCGTTTCTGAACCATTTTGTTAGATTCTGATATTAAGGTTTTATAGCAAAAAATTATTAAAAAGGTATTGAGATTAATATTTTGAATAGATTTTGTTTTTTAACAATAAAATTGCAAATGTATGTAATATTGAATCTGTGATGCAGGTGAAGGTGGATACTCGTGAGTGAAGGGTGCTGGTGAAGAAGAAGGTTCCTTCAAACTTGTTTACAAAGCTACGGAGGTGCACAAGTTTTTTATTTTAATATTTAAAGAATTTATTAATTAATTTTTTTATTCTGTCACAAATAATATATTAGATAAATTATATTAGAAAATATAAAATATATATGTTATTATTTATTATAATTAGTAGTTCAGAAATGTAAAAAAAAATTATAGTAATCCATAAAATATATTAATTATAAAATTTGAAATAAAATAATATTTTAGTAACTTGATAAATTAAGAGGAAAGAATAATATATATAAATAAATTGTTTAGAAAAAAAATAAAAAACATGAACATAAAAAAATATATACAGAATGCAATGAAAAGATTAAGTAAATAATGTAGAAGAAATAATAATTGTAAATTATTTGATAGTAGATTGATATATAAAGAAATTAGTGAAATAAAAATTATTAGATATAGTAAATTTAATATAATTATTAAGAAATAAGATAATGATTGAATAATTATAATAAATAAAGATAATAATAATTTGATGAAAATGAACATAACAGAAGTTTTATTATTAGTAAGAATGTAGTATTTAATTTGGTAAAAAATAATACATTATTATCTTTTACAAATTTTATAATTTATGTGATTTACTTGAAAAGATTTTATAAATAAGGTATAAAAATGGTTTTAAAATGCATTTTATTCTTAAACAAAGAATATTTTAGATAGGAATGAAATTAAAAATTATATAATGTATGTGTTATTATTTATAATCATTTGTTAAAAAATGTAATAAATAAAAATTATAGCCATCCATAATATGTATTAATTATTAAATTAAAAAAATTCTGCAGATAATAACTTGATAAATACATAATATGTATTAATTATTAAATTAAAAAAATTCTGCACATAATAACTTGATAAATTAAGAAGAAAGAATATTATATATTAATATATAGTTTTGTAAAAAATAAAAAACATGAACATGAAAAAATATATATAGAATGCACTGAAAATATTAAATAATTAATGTAGAAGAAATAATATATTTTAATTATTTGATAGTAGATTGATATATAAAAAAATTAGTGAAATTAAAAATAGTAGATATAGTAAATACAATGTAATTATTGAATAATTATAATAAATGAAGATAATTATAATTTTATGAAAATTAACATAACAGAAGTTTTATTATTACAAATTACATAATATATGTGTTATTATTTATAATTAGTTGTTTAAAAATGTAATCAATAATATGTATTAATTATGATATTAAATAATTTCTATTTTAATTAATTGATAAATTAAGAGAGAAAAATACTATATATTACTTGATAACTTGTGAGAACTATTGTCAAAACTAATATTCCTTATAATCCAAAAAAATAAAACATCTTTAAATTTTGTTTTTGCCAACCCTTAACATAAAAAATTGTACAAAATTTTAGAAACAATGTTTTTTTTTTATTTCTTGTCCAGCATAATTATTGAATCGTTTAAAATTAGGAAAAATTAATATAAAAATGAAATTAAACTTTAAATAGGAATAAACTTTAAGTATTGTGAGGGAACACTTTAATGAAATTAAGAAAATAATAATTTTGTGGTTGAATTATAGAAAGAAAAAAGTATATTAAAAATTATATATAATATTTAAAATAATGTATTTGTTTATTTGTTGTAATTGTAAATTTTGATATTTAAAAGAGTGCATGTAATTATATTTATTGCTATATATTATAATTGTAAAATAAAATGTAAAAGTTTTTAAAATGTTAATAAAATTTAACAATATAATAATTAAATGAAATAAATTTTAGAGTTATTTTTAAATTTTGAAATTGTAATAAAACCCATGTACTAATTGAATAGAGTTTTTGATATTCATCTGTACATTGTAAACTTATATTATTAATAGCATTTGCAGCATCAATTTTTCAAATTTAAAAATTATTAAATTCATATTACCTTCTCTTTGTGCATAATCATCATCATCACTTTCATGAAATTGTGGACTGATAAATTCACTTCTAATGGACGTGCCACAACAGAAGATGTTTCACCTACCGCAACATCCACATATATCTCAACTACATTCCTATGATGTGGTTGTTGACATGCACTTATCATGCAATCTATGTCTTCATCATCACATACATCTAAAGTTGTATGATATCGACCATTTGTCCCAACTAAAATTCGAGAAATTAATCTAGAAATTACGTGACAACTTGACAATTTCAGCTTTGTGTGGATCTTCTGTTTAAATATCTCAAATGTGATCCCACGTTCTATCTTAATCATCTTTTTTTACCTTTCAAAAATTATACCCTCATCTCCTTCATATATTCTACCATTTGAATATAATATAACAACAATTTCATTCATCCTGCATTTAAAATAAACCAAGCTTATTTATAAATTAATTTATAATATAACAAAATATATTTTTAAATTTATTTACAATTACAAATATTTAAATATTTAATTTTTTACATTATATGTTATCTGCCTTATTTATTTTCAAACATAACAACAAAAAATAAATTACAACATTAATATTTAAAAGCCATTAAAAATATAAATTAAATATTATTATTCAAATTAAAATTTCTACATAACTATTAAAAATAAATTATATATTTATAATACTTAAAATCTAACCTGATTGCTCAATAGTTATTATTTCTTGTCCAGCTTCACACTGTTATATTTGCCCAGCTGCTCACTGTTATTCCTGCCCAGCTCCACACTTTCTTCTCGCTACTTGCATTTTATTTTGAGCTTCATCCTACTATATATATACACATTTTAACTTGGACAAAGACGAAATTTTTTACCCGAGGTAGCATTAAAATCGTCTCTGCTGTGGACGACATTAAAATCGTCCAATATATAACGACACAAGCTGTGTCGGCTCAACCAGGGACGACACTATCATAGGTCACCACGTCAGACGTATGTCGTCCCTCTTTAGGACGATTTCACCTGTGTCGTCTAATAAGTGGACGGTTTTAATTTGAGTATCGCCCTTACGCTTGACGACTTTAGTGCCACCTGCCACTCCAATCCCAGACAGGGAATATCTTTGAATGCAGCCTTATTTTGACATTTTCTTTTCAAATTAACCGTACAAGGGCAAAAAAGCCTTTTTTTTACAGCTTAAGGAAGCTAGCAAAAGTACATATGCCTGAAATTTTATTTAGTAACACGAGCCCTTTGTTACAAATAGGTTTTGCTAACACACGTGTTATGTTAAAAAATTAATAATATTATTGTTCATTTTAGAGAAACACTAATCTTCAAGTTTTTGATCTGTAGTCTCTCTTACCGTTACTAACGTAGGAGGTACCTACAAAAGGCGTTCCGATGCTGAAGTCAAAATTCGGTTCTAAGCAATAAGTGCTATTTTATAATGAAAGTCAACTATTTACTTGTACTTCCTACCTTACTTTTATAGGCTTTATTATGGGTTAATGGGCCTGATGAGTCAGCCTTGATTTTGACCTTTTACTTAAAGTAGATAATGCTATGATTATTACTTTTAACTGAGTTAATTACCTTTTAATCCTGATAATAAGATATTCGGCCAAACTGGATCGAATAAGTACTCGATTTTCTTTTTTTATATGTAAGACCGAGC